CCAGCTTCCGTGGAGGGGTGTGTGTGTGTGTATGTGTGTGTGTGTATGTATGTAACTGAGCCTTACAGGGTCCTCTCTACACAGCCAGCTTCCGGGGAGGGGTGTGTGTGTGTGTATGTGTGTGTGTGTATGTATGTAACTGAGCCTTACAGGGTCCTCTCTACACAGCCAGCTTCCGGGGAGGGGTGTGTGTGTGTGTATGTGTGTGTGTGTATGTATGTAACTGAGCCTCACAGGGTCCTCTCCACCCACCCAGCTTCCGGGGAGGGGTGTGTGTGTGTGTATGTGTGTGTGTGTATGTATGTAACTGAGCCTTACAGGGTCCTCTCTACACAGCCAGCTTCCGGGGAGGGGTGTGTGTGTGTGTATGTGTGTGTGTGTATGTATGTAACTGAGCCTTACAGGGTCCTCTCTACACAGCCAGCTTCCGGGGAGCCCTGTGTGTGTTTGTCTCTGTGTGTGTAAAAGTAACTGAGCCTTGCAGGGTCCTCTCCACCCAGCCAGTGTCTGGGATGCAAAGAGGGGAGCTCTGTGCAGCCAGTGCCCAGGAGGGGCCCCTCCAACCCAGCCAGCAACTGTCCTGAGATACAACACTTTAAAAAAAGCCTTGGTAATCCCCAAAGGCCTTGTGCACACACACAAGGTGTCTTGCTTTAACAATACTGGTGTATTTAACAGGGCCGGCTCTGGCTTTTTTGCCGCCCTAGGCTTCTTCTAACCCTGGGCTCTGGCTGCGTGGCGGCGGGCTCTGTTCCTGGTGCCGGCCTCAGGCTGTGGCCGCGGAGCTACAAGATCTGGCTGTGGGGCTTTGGGCTCTGGCCCCAGGCTCACCCCCACGATTGTCACTGTGTCCTCCAGCCCCGGCCTCTGGCCATGCAGCGGCAGGCTCTGTTCCCTGGGCTCCAGCTGTGGGGCCTTGGGATCTAGCCATGGAACTTTGGGCTCCATCCCCAGGCTCACCACCCCCTGCCCATCACTCCGGCCCCTACTGCCTCCTCTATCCCCAAGCTCTGGCCGCACGACAGCGGGCTCCATCCTCTGGCTGTGGAACCCCAGAATCCAGCCATGGGGCTTTGGGCTCTGGCCCTGTGATCATCCCCCGCCATCACCCCTGGATCCTGCTGCATCCTCCGGCCCTGGTCCCTAGCCGCTTGGCAGCAGGCTCCGGTCCCCAGCCACAGGGCTTTGGGCACCGGGCTCATCCCCACCCATTGCCACTGGTCCCTGCTGCTTCCCCTGGCCCCTCACCCACTCCCCATTCTCCCTGGCCGCTGTCACCTCCCTGCCCACCTCCCCATCCAGGTCTTAATTTGTCCCACAGCTTGCTGGGGTTGAGTAAATCTGCTTTGAAATGTTTGTTACTAGCGCTTTTCACTGCCTCCCAGCTAGCTAGCAAGTCTGCGTCTGTGAAAAGTGATATTAACAACCATACAAATAACACTTGTCACAGGAGCAGACTTACTAGCTAGCAAGTCTTAAAAACAGACCACTAAAAAAGCAAAAGAAACAACAACAACAAAAGACCAGAAGAACATGCAAAGCACCTTCGTTTTGTTGCTATTCTGTTTCGGTCCAGTAAAGAATAGCGACAACTGTACAATATTTTTATTATTGAGTTTGCAAATTTAAAAAAAATCATCATAAATAAATGACAATGATTTGGACATGTGTATGTGCACAATTCTTTGATTTTCCTAAAGTCAATTAAGTATTTTAGGAAAAATTGTCAGAGTGGCTGCCAGTAAGGGATGATCATTAGAGCAGATATTTCCTGTTGGGGAATCAACAGGGAAGAATGATAGTGGGGTAAGAAGGATACACTGGGAGAGATTATCTTAAACAATCGTTAGTCCTCCCAGCTGTAAATAACCGTGTCTTCACACATAAATCAGGTAAACTGAGAATATATAGAAATGACATCACAACATATGTCTCTGGCAGAATATTCTTGGCAATGAGGTTTCTTTTGTTTGAAACCCTATCTAATCAAATTGATATGGAAACTTAATTGGGAGAATGAAGACTGCACTTCCCTTCCAGATGCAGGACAGACACACATTCAGCAATTAGACTGACAAGAAAGGGGGGTAATGTAGCTATTTCTTTCTGTATAGTGCTGTACTAATCTCTGATTAACAATCTGAGATTAAATAATTCCAATTGAGCCTGTTATTTTGACAATCTTGAGTCATTAATTCAGACACGCAACAGCTTTAAACTCAAAGCTTCCTATGAAAGCCTGTGAAGAAATAATTTCTTTGGTGCAATTGGTTGAAAACCAACTGTAGTTGACAAGCAGTGGGTCCATTGTTTAACAGGTGTTTTCTGAGTTACAGAAGATTTTTACCCTACTAGAATCTCTGTTCTCCAGTCTCTAGAAACCACCAAGAAGAAAGTCCATCAACTCAGAGACTCGGAAGCGGTAAGAGAACCGCGAGAGTCCATGGCTGGACCCTGAAAGAGAGAAAGCTGTACATGCTTATTTCCTTTTAGTCGCCATTCTGCCTCATGATATTACATCCAAACTTGCATTTCACACAGCTGTGCCTAGTAGAATGGGGTTGTGGTCCATGAGTAAACCTCCGAGGCACTGTGGTAATAAATACTACATGATATGTACACCTGTTGTAATAACTGGGGCCGGACGGGCCTACCCCGACTGTGGGGAAAAATGGCTAAAATGTTATAAAATGTTCCAGGCACCTATAACAAATGCTAATGGGAAACGGTTCAAAAGGGAGACAAACAGGCCTGCTGGTCTAAGTCAAAGAGTGTGTCAAGATCATGTCTGGTAAACAAGAGGAATGTGGGATCAGAAATCAGTGGGGGAAGCTTTTCCACCCAGCCAGTTTTAAGTTTGTTTTAGCTACCAATGAAGTGAGTTGTAAATTCTTAGCTTTGTTAACCTTTGAAAGGTTTAACTATGATTTTGCTAGCATCTAATCAAATGAGATTTGTAAATCCTATAACTCTAGGATTGTGTTACGATCGTGTCTGGTAAACAACAGGAGTCTGGGATCAGACATCAATGGACCAAAATTGGTTAAGGTTAACGTACATACTCTGGCAAACTACCAATTGTTATCCAAGTGTGTTTGAGCTTGCTTGGGCTGAGCATGCAAAGCCGTCTGCTAATGTTCTTGTTTAAAAAATCAGAGGGTTTTATCATTTTGTTTGATAGTTATTACTGGTTTTTAAATCTCTTTTTACAAATGCTTTGTTTCTCTTTTGTGTATTTTAAGGTTTGTAGTTACCCTAACTGGTAATAAGTTTGAACCTTCAACGTAAAGGCATTTTTAAGCAAAATGCAAAAGTGATAAAATAAAGTGTTTTAAATTGTTAAGTTGCTAATGCAAACTTCTGCTTGGATAACATTTTTCAGCGGAATGGCAGCTTAATTCAGGGCTGTACATTGACTGTAAATTGAGTTTCAAACCATCCGCAAGGGCTGTTGAAGCCCTCAAGATTTTTTGTGATTGGGAAAAACAAAACAAGGTGTTGGTGGTGGATTTTGTTATGTGAAACAGTGCAGTTCTAGTGGTTCGAATTAGATCTCTGGGAGCGGCTAAATTGCCTCAGTGGCCATGAAATGTTGGTGGGCAAGGCCTGCCGTAGGGTGTACTTTACTACCTTTGGGTGTAGCAAATGGCTCATGGATGCAAAATTGGTTCCAAAGAACATTCACTGGCTGCTTCTTTTTAAAAGGAGGAAATATACGGGGGTAAAAATGACATGAGGACTAAAATTTCTGCTAGTCAGCAAGTTTAACCACTTGTGCATGACATTTTCACCGTTTATGTTCATGTGCAGCTTTAAAAAGGCAAGAGGAGTAGGGAAATGGGGGGTGGGGGAGATTTTTTTGATATTTCCCAATCTGGACTTTGAGAAAAAAAATGTGACAAGAGCTAGTGTGTTTCTAAAAATCTGAAGACCGAGACCAACATCAATTTTAAGTTTGTCTTAGGTACAGCTCCAATGAGTTGTAAGTTCTTATCTTTATTAGCATTGGAAAGGTTCAAATGTGATTTTTTTAGCATCTAATCAAAGAAGATTTGAAAATCCGAATTTTGAGATGAGGAATTTGCAAACCTTACAATACAAGCAAGTACTTCTCTCCCCCCCCCCCCCCGTTTCTACAACAGCGGGTTTGCAAGTCAGCATGCGAGACAGAACTGCATTTTCTGTCTTTGCTGTTTTCCTCTCCCTTTTTCTGCGCATTTGTCTTGTTTTGTCTTCACAGAAACGAGATCAGACTTTAACAGAAGCAACAGCTCCAGCCCATTTCATCTAACTTCTTCTCTTCTCTCCCCCCCAGTCCCCCCCTCACCCCCAGAAAAGGAATATTGTTACCATCCATAAGAACATCAAAAAGACTGCTTCTCAGGGTTTCCTCCTCCTCCCCTCTCTTGAATACTCTCTACAGCTAAAGGAAAATGGAATAAGGCGTATAGTTGAATTGAAAGCCTTATGTAGTACTGTACATTTCAAATTCCTTAAGGGTCTTGAAAAAGGAACAGTTAAATCTGGATCTGGTACAAGTTCCAACAAAAAGGTTGCCATTAAATAAAATTCTGTAAATTCATACTCCTGAGAAAATTTTAAAACCTTTGAGTAATGCCCCTGAAATGTAGAAGGATTATGTTACAAGGGAAGCTCTTTGGGTTAAAGACTGTCTTTTTGTTCTGTCCTTTTTCAGTGCCTGATACAATGGGGTCTTGCCCCACGATTAAGAGTCCTGAGCTCTAAGGGAACACAAATAAATAATAATAATAATGTTCATTAAAAAGCATAAAAAGAGCCAACTACCTGCAGGAGTGCAATTGTGATCTGATATTCCTAGGTGCCAGGATCAGTCAAATAAAAGGTAGAATTGAGGTAACATCACCTGAGTTCAGAAAGGGTTCACTAGGAAGAAAAAATCAGCCCAGGAAGGAAGGTTTGGTTTGGGCAGAAGGCTACAAGGAAGAAATACAAAATTGAGGGATCTCTTCTAGTCATCAAAGGGCAGAACCCAACTGATATTGGTGAAAACTGGAAGATGGAAATGTGGGGGGACACAGAGCCCCTTTCGTGTGTGTGGCAGGCCCATCGGCTTTCAATAACTGTATTGAGTAGAGAATCTGAGAGCCACTTGTCACTGCCCCTCAGATGCTACCTTTGTCCCTCACACAGAGCTAACAATGTCTATGTTTCCCAGGTCCCAGTTTGTGTGATCGGAAGAGAAGGGATTTCTGAGATGATGGAGCCCCCGTCCAGCTCAAGGTCTCGGAGGTTCCACCGCCCAGGACCACAACTGAGCTGTGACCTCAGAGATAGGCTGCAGTATTCATGGCAACTAGGTAATAAGTTGTGTGTGGAGATGCATGTGATGTTGGGGAGCATAGATAGCACAGCAGGGAGGGGAGTCCCCAAGGCAGCCTGTATGAAATCATTGGGACAGTGTATCTAATGGCATGTGGAGGCTGGGTGAATCCATGTTCCTAGTAGAGTTGTGAGGTCCAGGAGCGTGTGTGTCTGTGTGGGTCCCTCTAACGGTATCTTTGTAATCCTTTAGATCTTCCTGCGCCCTATTTGTTTGTTCCTTATGATAAGGGGAATGAAGGAGACCAGGAGATGGTGGCCTCACTCTGTAGGTTTGGCTTTATGGTGAGTTGTGAAACGGTGCTTGTTTCAGTGGCCTGAGTTGGGGCTGAGTTCTGGAGGAATGGGGAGCTTTGTGGGCAGGCTGAGTCTGGCATCTCTTGCTGTGTGGAGGAGGTTGGGAGAGTGGGAAATGGGATTCCCCATAATGCTGCATTGACTGTGATGTCTTTGCTGCTCAGCTTGTGTCTGAGTGGTGGGATTGTGGCCAGACCAGACAGGTGCTGAGTGGGGGACCCATGTCATTTCAGATGCCAGTGACATTTGAGGAGGTGGCCGTGTTCTTCTCTGAAGATGAATGGACTCTTTTGGATGAAAAGCAGAAGGAACTCTACAGAGATGTCCTGCAGGAGAATTATGAGACTCTCCTCTCGTTGGGTGAGCAGTTGCTATAGTCCCCGTAGTGTAGACATGGCCTAAATCTCCTATAAGAAACACAGCCCATTTCCCACCAGACAGTCTGCTTGCCAAAAGGGGATACTGAAGCCTATATGGATTGTGTCTTTCCCCTTCATTCCAAGATTTTCTTTGCTGTTCTTTGTAGTTAAGTGATCGAGAAATACTTGACATGTTGTGATGCATGTACCTCTTTCCAACGAGCAGGATTTCCGATCACTAAACCAGATGTGCTGTCCCAGATAGAGCGAGGGGAAGAGCCGTGGTTCCCAGATCTCCAGGGCTCCGAGGAAAGGGAAATCCCAAGAGGCACTACGACAGGTGAGGAATGAGTGACACCAACTGAGAAATCATCTGGGCCTGAGGGGAAAAGCTGGGATCCCAGCAAACCCACTGAGTCCTCCCCCTGTTCTGTCCCATCTCATCTGACTCATTGTTGTGCTCTGTCCTCATGGCAGGTCTCACTCCTGGCTTCCACTCGTTCTGCCTGATCCCTGGCAGAAGCCTTTTCCTTAAGGCTCAGATGGGATTTTGAGGCAGAACTGCCCCTCTTTTCCCTTCTGTGGAAAGATTTGGGGGAATTTACTTCCTACCTATCAGGTTCTGTTATCAATGATAAATCCCTTTACTGCCTCCTCCGTCCCCAGCACATGCAGTGAATCCCATCTGGATTCTCTCTCCCAACAGGTACCGGGACAGCAAGTGAAAACGAGGAGAGTCCCCAGCAGGAAGGGGCTGTGGGAGTGAAGATTCACAGGATGTTCTTAGGGAGACCACAGTGCCCTGACGTGGCAGATGCCAGTGAGAGTCATGGCAGGGTGGGATGGCAGAGGGGAGATCCTCCAGGTAGGAGTAAATCCACTCACAAGAGAAGAGGTTTGAGGAAATCCAAGGATGCCAGTGCCCACCCGGTAACCCATATGGGGGAGACACCAAATACTGTCAATGAACTGGGGGAAAGAGTCAGTAACAGTTCGCTCCTTATTCAGCACTGTCAGCAAACGGGTACAGAAAAAAGTGTTTACAAGTGTTATGAGTGTGGCAAAGGCTTCGCTCGACAAGAAAACCTTCAGCTTCATCTGAGAGTTCACCCAGAGGAGCAACCTTATACATGTAATGAATGTGGGGAAAGCTTCAGGCTCAAGACAAGCCTTGTTCTTCATTGTTACACAGTCCACGAGTCAGAGAGACCCCATAAGCGTCCAGATTGTGGCCAGTTCTTTATCCGGAGAGAGAGACTTATTCAGCATCAGAGAATCCATTCAGGAGAGGTATCTAGAGGGTTTAACGATGGGATGGTGAGAGAGAAGGAAGGGCTTGTGAGAGCAGAGCTGGACAGGATGTTGTTGGAAAGACCCCAGAGTCTTGAATGGGGAGAAGCCTGTGGAAGTGAGGGAGCTGCACAAAGGCAACACAGGAGCCCTACAGGGGAGAGCGGCAGCATATCTGTGCAACATAAAAAAGTTTCCAAGAAACTGAACTGCACCATTGGCCACCAGAGCACCAATAGGGGAGCACAACCGAGTACAAGTAGTGACCAGAAAAGCTTCAGTAGCAACTCAGCAGTGCATCAGAAAGTCCGTCCCAAAGAGAGACGTTACAGCTGTGCTGAGTGTGGGAAAAGCTATTACCACAACTCGCACCTCCGATGGCATCAGAAAAAACACACGGGAGAGAAATCCCATGTATGTGCCGACTGTGGAAAGAGCTTTAACTGCAGATCGTCACTCAGCAGACACGAAAGGATCCACAAAGAGGTGAAAAACTACAGCTGCCCTGACTGTGGGAAAAAATTCAGGGAGTACTTGCACCTTGCTTCACATCAGACAATCCACACAGGGGAGAGAGCCTATCAGTGTCCTGACTGTGACAAAAGCTTCAGACTGAAAGGGGTCCTTTGTACTCACCGTAAAACCCACACGGGAGCTAAACCTTTTAAATGCACCGAATGCGGGCAAGGCTTCGGGCGGAAAGAAACCCTACATAAACACATGAGGACCCACACTGGGGAGCGGCCCTATAAATGCACCCAGTGTGAGAAAAGTTTTCGTCAGAAGTTCTCCCTTTCCCAGCATCAGTTAACGCACCGGGAAGGGAGGACTCATGCGTGTACGGAATGTGGGAAAGGCTTCAATCACAAATCAAATCTTGTTCAACACTTGGCAAAACTGCACTTGAAAAAGAAACCCCATGCAGCAAATGTAGCTTCAGATTAAACAGATCTATAATTGCAATGGTAGAAAACTGTGGAGTGGTATTTTTTTTTATTCTGGTGAGACACTTCTCCATCCGTATGTATTCTAAAATACAAGGCTTAAGGAGGATGGGTGGGTAGTATCGCCTTATTTATGATGATGGGAGGGGGACAAAGCTGATGAAGAGAGAAACTGATCTGTCAATGGGTTTTGGGGATGGTTAATGGGAATTTCAAGGCAGTGGAGTTGAATTTTGGAAGCTGAGCAGCGGTGTGCCATCAATGGATGCAATGCATGGATTGCATTCCCATGTGAGCCTTGAATATGACTTCCTGACTGGCTGTGCCAGTGGGACGATTCCACCCGGCCCCTGAATACACAGGGAGGATGCCATTTTGTAGAACAAAATGGCATCCTCCATACATTGCGAAGACACGGGTATTTAACATGGCGCTCCACAGACGGATTAAAACCTGGCGAACTGAGATGTCTCCATCTGTAACTGTAAACAGGGAATCCTCATTGAACAGGTGTGTTTCTAGTGGGGTCCTGCAGAGATCCATTCTTGATCTGCTGCTATGTAACATTTTTATCAGTGACCTGGAAAAAAACTTACATGATCACTGATCAAGTCTGCAGGTGACACTCTAATCTGGGGGGTGGTAAATCAATGAAGAGGACTGGTCACTGATTCACCGTGAACTGGATCACTTTGCAAACTGGGCAAAAGAAAACAGTCTGCATTTTAATGTGGCTAAACGTCTACATCTAGGACAAAACATGTAGGCCATACTTATAGGATGGGGGATTCTATCCTGGGAAGGTGGGACTCTGGAAAAGATTTCGGGTTTGTGGTGGATAATCAGCTGAAGATGAGCTCCCAGTGCATGCTGTCTTCAAAAGAGCTCATGCAGTGCTGAGATGGATAAATGGGAATCTCGAGTAGGATCAGAGAGGTTATTTTACCTCTGTATTTGATACTGAGGCAACTGTATTTTTTTTTAACTTATCTACGCCGGAAGTTGTACTGGTATAATTTTGCCAGTACGGTTATAGTGGCATAACTTCCTGTGAATAAGTGTGTCAACATGGGGAGTTACAGAGGTATAATTATACTGGTATATTTTATGCCAGTTTAATTCCACGTGTAGACAAACCCTTAGCAAGAGAAATTTTAAAGGTGACAGATGAACAGGAGTAAGTCAGCCTTGCCCCACCCTCACAACAGCTTTCTGCCATGTACTAACTGGCTATAGTGCTGTTGGCTAAAGATACAGCTCACTTTCAAAGGCATATGGTTAATAATGGGTTGCCAACGAACAAGGAGCTACTAGGTTGTAAACAATTGGGGTAGATGTGTCGGGATAAGCAAATTGGAGTAGACCGGTGTTGACACTTTAAGATAGGTCAGGAAAGATTTTACGGCTTGCCTTGGGACAAGAGTCCCATGATACTTTGCAATTAAGAAAAAGCTATCTAGCAAGGAATGGAATTTTACAGTGCAGCAACCGATGACATATTTTGTTATGCAATATATTTTTGCAATGTACTAAGTGCAACATATTTGCAAGATATGTAATGCATAAAAAAGGCCATAAAAATGAATAACGAGTAGGTTTTGAAACAGTTGAAAAAGTACAAGGAAAAGGGAACTGAAGTAAGAGTCTGAGGGAACTGAAGTAAGGGCATGTATACACTTACCGGGGATCGATGCTGCTGCAGTCGATGCACTGGGCATCGATTTAGTGGGTCTAGTTAAGACCAACTAAATCAACTGCAGATCGCTCTCTCATCAATTCCGGTACTCCACTGGAATGAGAAGTGTAAGGTAAGTTGATGGGAGGGCATCTCCCGTCGATGCAGCAAATCGACCTAAGCTATATCGACTCCAGCTACGTTATTGGAGTTGTGTAATTTAGGTCGACTTACCACTGTAGTGTAAACAAGGCCTAAGATATGGAGAGGTATACACCAAAAGGAGGAAATTGATAAGGGTTGAAATGTTGAACTAAGGAGAGCTACCAGAGTATAATTACTACAAGAAATCATAAGTAAGACCATTGGCAGACAGGATCCAGACTGTAAGAAACTACAGAGAAGGCCTTCTACAGTTGTGAGTAATTGTATGTGCTGTCTTGACTGTTTAATAAATTCATTCAAAGCTGACTTGTTAACCAAATCTAAATTTAAGAGAAGGCTATTCATTAAATATATAATCACAATTAAAATTCCTATCCATTATTAGCTAGTCATTTATTAATTATTGGTTGATTATCAACACAAGAAATATGTAAACTACAGTCACTGAAAGACTGTTCTCTACACTGGTAATGTCTGACCTTTCTTTATTATGCCGTTTTATTGCTAATCAATAAAGTGATTGAGCCGAGGTATCTGAGGTCTCATTAACTGATGACAAACTTAACCAGCAACCATCTCAAACCACTTACAAGATCATATTTCTACCTGTAATGGGAATGGGGCCTAATAGTGACTGGATTTCATAAGGATGGAGGACAGTGTCCCAGAAGTGTGAGGCATTAAGGGGAAGTGACTACAGATCAAAGAAGATCTTTTCATTTCTCAATAGACTGATTTAACAAAAGTAGCACTACTTTACACTGTTAACTCTGTGTGCTATTAATTAAACATGAATGCCCCAGTGAAGGTGGGTGTGCCTATTATGAAACAGTGAGTTTGTGTATTTCTTTGGTTGTGCTGGGGACTGTTGTGACACGGTAGTTCACAACCAAAACACCCCCATGGCTCCTAGTACTAAGGAACACATTGCTTTTTCTCTGGAAGGTTGTGGGGGTAAATCCCTTGTTCCTGAAGAATTTCTAAGGGGATCCATTTTTGCTCAGCTGCCTGCTCCCTCCCTCTCACTGGGAAGAGCTGGGATCTGAGCCCCGCTTCTTTTACCCATCTGCAAAATCAATTCTTTCTTCTTTCATCAACTGCCATGGCGTTGTTCAGTCTCAATAGCCACATCAGAGCAGACCAGTCGTTCAGCTAGTCCTGTGTCTGACAGCGGCCAGCACTACACACTTGGTTGGAACGTGCAGGAAACCCCGTAGTGGACAATTAGGGGGAAATCTGTCCCTAGCAAAAGTTTCTGCCTAATCCTGTCAACCAGTTGTTGGTTTGTGCCCTGAAACAGATTCCTCATCTATACATTATATATTAGTTCAGCTAGTGTCACTCTGGAGGTTCTCATTATCTCTGTTTCTATCTGATGCTTTTTCAAAATTCCATGAGTTCCAAGTCTCAATGCGATCTAGTGGAAATGATTTCCATACGTTTATATATCTCTATATGAGATAATCTGATCTCCTGTATATCACAGGCTATTACATTTCACCCAGCTACCCAATAACCTATGTTTGCCTAAAGAACACCTAAAACGGCATCCAGCCTTGATCTGAAGACAGCAAGAGAAAGAGAATCCACCACTTCCCTCGGAAGTTTGTTCCAGTGGTTAATCACCCTCACCTGTAAAATTTGGGAATTTATTCCTAATTCAAACTTGTTTTGCTTCATTTTGCAGTCATTGGCAGTGGCTCTTCCTCCATTCCATTAAACAGCCCTTTAGGACCCAGCATTTTCTCCCCTTAAAGGTATTTAAATTGTAATCAAATCACCTGACCTCTGAATCTTCTTTTTGAGAAGCTGAACACATTGAGCTCTCTAAGTCTCTCACTGCGAGGTATTTTGTCTAGCCCTGTGATCATTTTGTGGCTCCTTTCTGTACCCTCTCTCCAGTGTTTCAACATGATTTGTAAAATGTGACTACAAGAACTGTACACAGTATTATAGTATCAGTTTCACCAATGTGGTACACAGGAGTAAAATCACTCTCGCCCTACTTATTACTCCTCTGATTACACATCCAAAGATCACATTAGCCCTTTTCGCCACAGGATCACACGGGGAGCTCATGATCAGATGTCTGTCAACTGTGACCCCTAAATCCTTTTCAGAGTCACTGCTTTCTAGGATACAGTCGCCCATTCTGCAGCCCCGGCCGGCATTCTTAGGTGGATGGCCTTGTGTTAGACCCACAGTAGAGGTCTCCCATGGGGAGCAAGTAGATACCGGATACAGTGTTGGTATATAATGCTCTAAATGCTCTTTATTGATTACAAAACAAACCTTACTCACTCCACGTTCATACCCCAAACATACTATACCAGAGTCCAAAGGTCAGCATAGTCCCGATGGTCAGTCGAGGTTCCTTCCGTCAGGATAAGATCATAAGATGCTGGGAGCCGGCAAAAACCACATCCATATCCACACGGGGCTCTGGATCAATAAATTATTCCGATTTGCAGAAATCATAGGCAATCATTTATAGTGCATTCTGTTACGTCATCGGTTCTTGGCCTAGTAAACAAAGGCATTCTACCCACACGATTTCAAAGACACAATCCTGGGCAGGCCGCCATGATCCAAGGCATGCCACTGCCTCCAATTCTTATACAATTTTATATCAGTCCAGCTGGTGGTGTTTCCTTTTCTGATGATTTTCTGTATTTTTCTCAGAACATAAGATTGTTTTTGCACAAATAGTTCTAATAGTTCTTGATCTTAAGTTCTTGCTTCGGTTGCCAACTTGCAACGCACGTATTCATGTCAAGTACACGTCATTCATACCAGGCCTCAATGACCTATAACATATTACATGGTATATGAATCACACTGGATATAGTTTTATATATCACAACACTTGTATTTGGCTGTATTGTTTGTTTAGTTCTCCTTATATGGTTATTACCTGGCAATAAATAAATTTTAGGGTTAAGTTGGTTGTTTCCCTCCCTCCCTCCCTCTTGTGTTTTTGGCTTCCCCATTCGCTCTGCAGCAACACTCCTCTTACCTAAAAAGCTAAAAAGCCCTGCAGCGCCCAAAAATCCTGTGGGGTTTGCTCATCACGTGGGTTACTACCAGAACAACTGTAATGGGAAAGTGGGGATAGGGACATGCGGCAACTTGGAAGTGCTGCTCGACCCTGCCTACTCAGGCGTGCTCTATTCCGGTGCCGTGCTCGTGGCATATGAGGGTGGCAGCTTGGAAGTGCTGCTTGACCCAGCCTGCTGAGTCCAGGGACATATAAGGGGTACGCTTGGGGCTGCTGGTTGACCTGGTCCGCTCAGATACGCTCTGTTAATGTGTGTGTTCATCTGATTCTGGGGCTGGAGGAACCCAGCCCCGGGGAACCTCGGTCCTGCAGGATAGCTCCATTGGGAGGGAACTTGCAGCAGGGAGAAGTAGAGCTCCATATGAGAACACAAGTGACACAAGCAGTACATTGATAGAATTACACTCCCCGCCCCCCAAAGAGTAACCCTAATAAATGAGCATACCACAAAGTAATGGGCAAATCTGGTAACACTGTTGTTCTTCAAGGTGTGTTGCACATGTTTATTCTGTGATTCACCCTCCTGCCCTCTACATCATAGTTTTCTGGAAAGAAGGAACAGAGGGGGTAAGGGGATGGCTGGGTTCCTTAGTGACAGGTACCACTGAGGAAAAAATTTTCAGCAAGTGTGCTTGGGGTGCACACACACCTAGGTGGAATGGACGTGTGCAACACATCTCAAAGAACAACCTTTACAGAAGGTTTGTCAACACTTTTAAAAAATTAAAGCAGAGATTCTCACATGATCACCTGATTCCATGTGCAAGGCTTTAAGAAAAGCACCAAATATTGCAAGAAGGGATAAAATGGCTAGATATGGAAACAATGCACTCGCCTCAAGACACAGCAACTTCCTCAGGGTTTCTAGCTTCCTTCACACGATGTCTTCCAGCTCTGCACTGCAAAGTGCAAACCAAATCCAATATGTAGACCAGGGGTCAGCAACCTTTCAGAAGTGGTGTGCCAAGTCTTCATTTATTCACTCTAATTTAAGGTTCCGCGTGCCGGTAATACATTTTAATGTTTATAGAAGGTCTCTTTCCATAAGTCTATAATATAGAACTAAACTATTGTTGTATGTAAAGTAAATAAGGTTTTTAAAATGTTTAAGAAGCTTCATTTAAAATCAGATTAAAATGCAGAGCCCCCTGTACTGGTGGCCAGGACCCGGGCAGTGTGAGTGCCACTGAAAATCAGCTCGCATGCCGCCCTTGGCATGCATGCCATAGGTTGCCTACCCCTGGTGTAGATTGTAAACTCTTTGGGGGCAAGGACCTTGTCTCCTTATTTGAGGAGTGTCCTATGGAGACCAGGAATTTCTCTCCTTTCTAGGTGAATAAGCACACTCTTTGGCCTCTGTAAAAATAACAGATAAGAGTTTTCTTTTAATCAAAGCTGAGATTCTGCTGTAATCACATGACTCCTGGAACTGGGGCACTAAGTAGAGACGTATAGTGTCTATCCCTTATTTAAATGCCTCCCAAAATCATTAATGTATGCCGAGTTAGGGTTGCTCAGTGGTACCTCATGCCCTTCCAGACTGAAAAGTGGCTAAACCTAAACCTCTGAAAACCAGGAAATACAAAGTGAATGCCAAACGTGCCAAGCACCTACCACTGTTGTTAAAACAAAACCAAAATTGATGTGCCCATGACTGAATACAGGGCTCCAGAGGGAAGACCAACCCGGAAACCCGCGTGGACGGCAGACTACCTGGATTCCTAGGAGTTTCAGCAGTAATGTTTTGGTTGCTGTTTTCAAACTCTTATTAAACGGATGTGGGGAATGTTGTAATGATCTGTGCAGATAGCACCTCCACCAACAGCTGGTGCATCTTTGTCTTAGTGTTAAGTTGTCTTGTTTTCATAATGTGTGTTGTCCTGGTTGGGAAGGGCAGGGTTATGGGTGGGGAGGCCACTTGTTCCGTATAAAACCGGATGGTCCTCTTTTTGAGAAGTTTGTCCTCTTTTCAGTACTGGGACTGGTATTGGATGGGGGACAATGTTCTGCCCCTTCTGACTCTTAAAAATGGCACGCTTCATGCAGTATGACCTTGCACGTAGGTCACGCCAGTGGGACAAGGCATTCTTAAAAATAGTGTCCCCCCCGCGGCGTGACTTTGCACTCACCATGAGTAGAGGTCACACCAGCAGGGACAGGGTGAGCATGCTCTTAAAGATCATGTCCCCCATGTGGCCGGATCTCACATTCATGTTGTCCCCCCAGTTTCTGGAAATATCAGAGTGTTTTCTGTAGGGTTGCCACCTTTCTAATTGCTGCTAACTCGACCCCTGAAGCCCTGCCCCTGCCTCACGTCTTCCCCCAAAGCCCCACCCCTTCTCTGCCTCTTCCACCAGGCTCCACCTCTTCTCTCCCTCTTCACTCAGGCCCTGCTCCCTTGTCTGCCTTTTCCCCCTAAGGCCCCACCCCTGTTGCTCCTCTTCCCCCCCTTGCTTGCCTCCCCTCTCCACACCA